TCACCCCAAATCCCATGCAAGTTCTGTCTTAGGGTTGTTATGTATGTAGAAGGTGCATACTCTGAAACTGATGGCTGCTTTCTTGGGGGCCCAGAGCAGTTGTGTATACAGGCTTTAGGGTGGCAGTCAGGTCAGTCTATCATTCTTGTGTCCTGTGCTTCCCGGGAAACCATGAGGGTTCCAGTCTATAGAGGCCCCAAGGCTGGCATAGTATCTTTAGGAAAAGGAACGCCTGGTAAGCAAGCCCAAGACCTTGAACGAGGCTGTGCATGGATGTATTCCAGATGCTTCAGGAGAAAGGAACCCTGACCCCTAGGGAAGCTCCTCCCTCTTCCGCCTGCAGATGCAGAGGACAGTCTCTCCCACCTCTGGTTGGCAGAGCCAGGGCCCAGGATTTCCCTTCAGCCAGGTCTGGGGTTAGGAGCCAGTGTCCTCAAGGACATTTTGGGGTCATCAGTGTATCTGGGAAGCAGCACTATTTTCTCTGTGACTGGACCTTCCAAGTTAGGCCAAAGCTTTCTTTATGTGTGTGCCTTACATCAAACACAAGACAAGCCTGGCCAGGTCAGTGTGAGAAAGGATTGGATAGGCTGAGCCACAAGATCTTTAGCTTCTGGAAGTTTTTTGTTTTTGTTTTTTTATCTGTCCCTGGGACTGGAGAGAATTGATTTTGCTGTAAAAGAATGAGTCTGAATCTCCAGGCCCCATGTACAAAGCTAAGCATAACTGTATGAACCTATCAACGCTGTACAATGATATTCGGAGGAAGGAGGATTGCTGGGGCTAGCTGCCTGCAGGTCCAGCTCTAGGTTCAGTAAGAGAACCTCAAAGGACTATGGGCAAAAGAGTGATGAAGCAGGACACCTAGCATGGCCTCTAGCCCTGTGCACATATCACACATACACACACACCCGATACATGCAATTTTTAAAAAAAGTCTGCCCTCTCATCAGAGATGCCCATGGACATTAGTGTTCTGGGGGAAAAGTTAGTTCAAATTTAAATACGATGTAAACCACATTGCTTCCTCAACACCACCCAAGTTGGGTCTGGAATGTTCTCTGAAAGGAGGGCATGAATTGCATAATGACTGTTAGTGGAACAGTCCGTGCTGCTGGATTTTGAATTTGGCAGGAGTGTCCAAATATAAGTACATACATATTTTCAATTTGCCTCAAGTCTCTATGCATCTTAAATCTACCAAAAATGAGCCCAACCAGAACATAAAATCTGTGGGCTTTTTTAAAATTAAAACTTGGACACGAGAGCCCAGGAATTGTTGTTGTTGTTGTTGCCTGTAATTTAATCTTAATGTATCAGACATAATCCAAGTTTAACAGATTTTTTTTTCTTTTGGATTCTGGCAAGTATGTTAACAAGAGGTAATTATGTGAAATAATATAAAATCCTTTTATTTAAAAAAAAAGCAGAAAAGCCTTCATTTAAGCAGGAATTTAATATTCTTCCAATGGTGTCGATGTCATGAACTCATTTGATTAACTCTTCAAATGGTTCAAAGAGCTTTGGTGGTCATTTATGAGCTCCTAATTGATTTTCCCAATCTTGGTTTGGTAGAGGTGAGCCTCCTGCAGATGTCAGGGAGCTGGAGGCCCACACTTCGCTTCATTCTCAGACAAAAGAGCCAGCCCAAAGGGGGAGCTCTGTCAAGGGAGATGAGGTCCATGGTGCATATGATGACTGACCAGGACAGCTGTGGTTCTTGTCTCCTGAGTAGTTGGGCCTTTGCCCCTCTTGAGATATGTGGGGTTGCTGCAGGCAGTTTCCCAGCATCACAACCTCTTTAAAGAATCATTGCCCACAGACTGTCACGTCAGAACAAGCCAAGCATGGAGAAGGGTGAAGGATGCTTCATATGGATGGAGGGGGGGCTTGTAGCTTCTACTATGAGCCCCTATTTCCTATCCACACCACTGTTCCTCACTAGATCTGCCTTTCAAGTGACACTTTAGAAAGGCTAAGGACCTTGGCAAGGCTTGGAGCTAAGGCTGTTGTCTCTTAAAATCACCACGGAAGTCCTCAGAGAAATCCCAATCCTGGCCACACTCAGACATGAGCATTCGGGTGACCTCACTCATTGTATTCTCAGGGATTGTCTGTTCTCAAAACCTCCTAGATGGAGCAAGAGTGCACCACATTAAAACATGTGAGGCTAAGAAAAAAGACATCAGCCAGGCATGGTGATGCTCACCTTTAATCCCAGCCCTCGGGGCAGAGGCAGGTGGATCTTTGGGTTTGAGACCAGCCTGCCTGGTCTACAGAGTGAGTTCCAAACAGCCAAGAGCTATACAGAGAAACCTTGTCTCACAAAACCAAATGGGGTGGGGGAGGAAGAAAAGAAAAAGGAAGAAAATGACACCAAGCTAGTAAGTGGGGTACTCAATGGGGGTACAGCGGGGACTCAGCTCAGCAGTCTTCCATCCTAACTATGTCAACAAAGAGCTCACCACATTCACAGTCAGAGGATGAGCTCATATGAATGAACCCGTGCTTCCTGACTTTTTAAAAGATGTGTATGTATGCATGTGTGGGGGCATGTGTGTTAGAGTGCAGGTACATGTGCATCTGTGTGGCAGCCCAAAGTCAGCACTGGATGTCTTTGCTCACTCTCTGTTTTGTTTTATGAGTAGGGGTCTCTTGCTGTACTTGGAGTTCATGGATCCCAGCTAGTCTAGCTAGCCCTAGGGATCTCCTGTCCCCTAGTGCGGGGACTGCAGGCAGCTGAGATCTGAATCTGAGCTATTTGTGCAGTAAGAACTTTAGCCACTGAATCTCCTCCCCAACCCTGCCTTTTGGCTTTGTGTGCCTCACTCCTGATGTGGGGAAGAATTGTGCCACATGCTGTCTTGGGCCTGGAAATCTTATACACTTCATGTCCAGCTTCCTGACATTTAAATGGGGATAATAAAATGGCTGGGGAATAAAATGAGATCATTTTAGCCCTGCCACATCAGCTTGAAGAATATTATACAGAGCAGACTTGGGTGAAGAAGGGAGGTGAATGATGTTCTAAACCAAGGGAAGAGAGAGTAGAGTCAGGTGATCAGGGCAAAAGGTGATGGCAGGGCAGTTATAGAAGAAAATATGGAGGACTGGAGAGATGGCTCAGTGGTTAAGAGCACTGTCTGCTCTTCCAGATGATCCGGGTTCAATTCCCAACACCCACATGGCAGCTCACAACTGTGTGTAACTCCAGTTCTAGGGGATCTGACATCTTCACACCAATACACATAAAATATGGCAATAACGAAACTCAGCACTCTCCTTTGGGTGGTGGGATTCATTGGATCCTGTGTGAAGTACAGTTGAGGCTTTTCTGAGATAATTCATTTCCCCTGGACTTGCCAGGCTGCCAGGAGCCTTCACCACCTCTTTATTGTGGAAATAGAAGGCACAGAACCATCCAGGCCCACCAGAACAGAAATCAAATGTCATCTGCTCTAGAGCCAAGCTGGGGACAAATGCAGTTACATCCTTTAGCCCAGCCCCTGGTACTGCTCTTCCCAGGCACACACATCCCTGGGTAGCACCCAGAACAGAGCAGCCAAGTGAGAGGCCCCCATGGCTGCCTAAACACAAACAGCACCAGGCCCAAGGTAGGTGTACCTCAGCCTCTGAGGCACATTGGGCTCCAGTGTCTGCCACTTCCCAAGCTGTACGGCCTAGGGAAACCACACCATTTCACCGTACCTCAGTTTTCTCATCTGAAAAGGGGGACACTGTGGAATAGAGGAACTGTATTAATACTTAAGGGAAGTCCCCCAAAACTATGTGGGAGCCTATAATCCCAGTACTAGGGAGGCTGAGGCAACAAGATTGTCATGTGTTTGAGGCCAGCCTGGACTACTTAGTGAGTTCCAGGTCTGCTTAGGCTACATGAGAGACACTGACTCTAAAATCCAGAGCCAAAAGCAGACACCAGCAATCAAAGGGTCCTGGGCACATGGAAACACTTCAGGAAGTTCTATGGCTGAGTGCACAACTCTGTTCTTTTATCTGTCATGGGAGAGACAGTAGTCACAGGAAGTCTACCCTCACCCATGCCCCGATGTTCCTCCCGCTCAACTGTCACTCCAGGGCTGAATCATCCTCCTCAGCCATGGTGTCTGGTCACTGATGAAGAGGAGCTATTGCTGTTCTGTTCCTCTCATCCTTAGTCCCTGAGGTGGCTTAGAGCTGCCTGGCCTTCCCTAATTCTCCTCTGATCTCCCACTTCCCACTTTCATGCCTGGAGCACTTCCTGGGTGGCCCTCACTCAGTCCCACTGCTGGTAAGTAAATGTCAGAGTTCTCTAACTTGCCCATAGGCTCCATGCAGTGAGAACAAGGAGGGGCTGCAGGGAAATCGTCAAAGCAGCAGAAAGAACATGACATATAAGGGTTCCCCCAGGGGCTGGTGACCTCTTCACATAAGACACTCATATCCCTTTCTTAGAGCATTTTCAGCTTCTTAACAGTCAGTTGCTGGTAGTCCCAACAGTTCTTAAGCTTCAGGCCCACCAGTGTCTACTGGGGCCACAAAACAAGGGCATTGGGACCTGAGAAGTGGGGTACCCTCTCCCATCCTACCTCACATGCATGTTATCTAAGCTGAGTGGCTCTATCCATCATCCAACTGCCCTGTCTCTACTGGGGTGTTTCCACACCCCACCCTGTATTCCCCTCCAGAGTGTGAAATCTTTAAGGACTATCTTATTTTGAGGATGCCGTGCACTCACCAGGACACCAGAGGCTTGAGTGCTAGTTTGTAATTTATACTGCCCTACACAGAATTCGAGGGAATTCAGATTAAAGGTAAAGAAAGACAGCAATTCACTGGTGTCTCCAGAGAATGCTGGGGTAGCGAGAAGTCTTTCATACTAAAAGGATGTTCTCCACAGCTCCAGAAATTGTGGAAGAGAGGGTCCCAATCCCCATAGCCATTTTCTCAAAGGGCACTTGGCTAAACCCCAGAGACAGAACCTTCCCATTCAAGGACCTTACCTGGGTGCCCCGGGTGCCTGGCTGGGTTAAGAGATACTGCTCCGTAAGTGTGTAACAGCCTTACACGAAACCTCCAGACTGGCTCAGAGTGCCTATTTTTAGGGTCAGATCTGCTGACACTGTCCTTGCATGCTGTCCAGTCTGAGAGGAGACCTGTGGCATTTGTTTGCAAAATGATTCATCAGTGTGACCTGAAACCCTTGACTTAAGCAGTCCTGTACCTGGAGGCCCACATGTTTGCTCTGGCGCAGCCACAGATACAGGACATGTGGCCGCCAGGGTGGCGACAGATGGGGAATTCCCCAGCTTTGTTTTCTTAGGCTGGATAAGGCCAAGTGTCTGTCAGCCCTACCATGGGCTGTGTCTCAGAATGGCTGGGATGGGGAAGGTTTGCCTGTTGGCATGGAACCCATAGGAGGGCCCACAGCATGAAGAACTCTACTCCAGTCTTCTCTAAGAGTTTGAAGAGCTATCTCTCAGGGAATGAATGGGATGGTTACCACATTATGAACATGATCCGTGAAACCCTGTGGGCAACAAACACTGTTGTACTATTTTCTGCAAAACTCCCATCAAGTCTCCAACCCTTCTTGGCTTCAGTGAGGACAGTAGTCATGTTTACCCTTTTATATAATTATGAGCATCTAAGGAAAGACAGTATAGAAAGAACTTAGCAGGTGCCTGGCATGTGATGACATGTAGAACATTTAGATGCCACTGGTGTTCCAAAATTCTTCCCAACCCAACATTTCCAAGTCTTTTTTCTTACCTCTCTCTTTTCTCACCCTCCTGCTTCTGTTGGTTCCAGAATATTTTGTTCCAGTATTCTTTCATCCTCTTCAAGGCCCCCCACAAGTAGGCCTCCTCTTTAACATCAAGGGGCAGAGTCCATGTAGTACCCTTTAATCATCTGGTAGAGTTAGGGTTCGCCACAGCTTCTCATAATGAATGATGTGGTTTTTTTATTTTTGCTCATCCTGGTCACCCATTTTGGCTGTGCAGAGAGATGGGGAGAAGGCCACCAGTCTCCTCCATCTTTCCATTAATAAGGTTCTTACACTGCCTTTGGTGGCTTTGTTCAGTAAACCTTCCTTATACCTAGCAGGGTTGTCTACCGATGCTGTAACTCACCATGATTATCAGTGCTAATCATTCTCATTGCGAACCCACTTAGCAATGTAGCTTTTATTGATTTCTTGGTTTTTTTTTTTTTTTTTTTTTAAAAAGAAGAGTCCCAACAGAAAGGGAATCTGAAAGTTCAGCAAGGTCTGAATGTTCCCTGGAGTCAAAACAACAGGGTATAGCACAGGCCCTTCTGCAATTACCCTAAGAAATAAGGAAGTCGAAGATGCTAGGATTGAAAGGATCTAGATAAAAGACTGCTTTGCAGGGAGGCTGGAGGAGAACCTCAAGGTCCTGGCCTAACATGGCTGAATTGGCAAGAAAAATCTCCGAAAATGTGGCGTCAGCAGTGTATAAGGAATCAAATAGCTAAACCAGGTATGGTGGCATGCACCTGTAATCCCAGGAGGCAGGAGAATAGCTCTAAGTTCAATACCAGCACAGTCTACATTGTGATTCAATCAACCAGAGCTTAGCCAACACTGTGTCTCAAACCAAACAAGAGTCCATAAGGGATGACTCAGTGGTGAAGGTGCTTATCACCTCTGATGATCTGATCCCTGGAAAGCACATGGTGAAAAGAGAACAAACTCCTGCAAGTTGTTCTTTGATCTATGGACACACACACACACACACGCACACACACACACACACACAGAGAGAGAGAGAGAGAGAGAGAGAGAGAATAAATGCAAAACAATCTATGAACCTATCTGCCAATCAATACAGAGAAACCCTGTCTAATGACATTTAGCATAGCTACATGATATATAGATGGATTAATGATAGATCAGTGAAAGATTTCTTACTATCTAAGATGGTAGATGTAGTCAAATTAAATAAAGCCAAGAGAAGAATGTGAGAGGTGTTAAAATTTTAATGGGAAACACATCTCACAGGCTGGTTGAACTGCTTGAGAGGTGGTGGAGTGTTTAAGAGGTAGGGCCTATCGGCATGTGGTGGTACACACTAATGCTAGCACTCAAGAAGCAGAAGTAGGCAGATCTCTGTGAGTTCAAGGCCAACAGAGTTCCAGGACAACCAGGATTATTACACAGAGGAACTCTATCTCAAACAAACAAAAAGAGGTAGGGCCTAGCTGGAGAAAGTCACTAAACAAGGAGGGATGGGGCGTGATGATGTCCTGAGCAGGACAGCCATGTCTATCTCAGATGGAGCACTCTGTTTCCCATCTCCCACATAGCTGCCAGCAGTCATGCCATCCCCACCCTGATAGACCATATCCCCTCTAACTGTGAGTCTCAATACCCTTCCTTGGTTGCAGTGATAAGAAAAGTAATACAAAGGGAATGTTGTTTCTCACCTCCACTAGATGGACCCTACATTCCACTTTCTCTCCATCCTTCACACATTAAACTATGCACTGTGCCAGGCGTAGTGGCAAACACCTTGAATCCAAGAACATGAGAGGCAGAGGATCTCCAAGTTCAAGGCCAGCCTGTGAGAATAAAGACAGCCAGAACCACATAGAGACCTGTTTTGATCACACACACACACATACACACACACACACACACACAAAACCAAACAAAATGCCAAACACTATGCTCTGAGTAGAACAGCAGGAGGGGGAAGGGTGGAAAACCCTATCATTTTCCATTGAGAACTCCAGGAATCCCTGGGAAGACTGTATTAGAAAAGTAGTGGCATTTCCAGCAGACACCTGGGCTGTCTTCTAGAAGCCAAGAAGGCGAATCTGTGGGGTACAACACCATCCTTTGCATAACTCTTACAGTAGAACTGAAGCCACAGGGGGACACTCCCATATCTCATGAGGGCAAAGAAGACACCATGTTGTCAGGATGGGAGTGAGCCAGGCAACCCATCAGCTAGACTCAGAGGTGTCCAGCTAATCCCAGACCCTAGAGGTTCCCCCTAGGATGTGGAATACTGACTTCTGTAAGCATTGTTGCCTCCATGTAGCTTCTTATGGACTTGTGATAGCTGTGGTCCTCTTGATATGGGTACCAGTACCTCTTCCCAACCCATGTGACTTTCATTGGTAAACTCCTTTCCCTCAGGACTCCCTTTTTACCGATTTTCTTTCTCCAATTTCAGAGTGAACAGTAGACACTGTCCTCTCCCAGTTCTGTGGGTTGGGATCTCATGTTGGCTCAATAGCAAGGTGAGAGGGGGCAGAATTATGTTCTGCCCCCAGTGATATCTAATTCCTGAGACCTGTAAGGAATACACTGTAACATGGCGAAAAGAATTAAAGGCCCAGGAATTAAGACCACTCGTATCTGACCTTAAAGTAGGGTGATTAGTTTCATCATCCAGATGGCCCAATGTAATTGAAAGTTTCTTAAAATAGGAAAGGGAGGATGTGGAAAGAGTGACATGATATGATAAGTGTGGAACTGTGTGCTGTTGGCTTTGAAGGCTGGAAGGGTCCCATGCTGGAAGGCAGCTTCTGGAAGCTAAGTAAGGCTAGCAAGTGGATTCTTCCCTAGAATCTCTAAGAAAGAACCAGCCTCCTACTGACACTTGCATTTCCCCCTTGGTGTGTATACAGTCAACTCTAGCTGCTATAACAAAACTCATAACCTTAAACAACAGAAATTTATTTCTCACACAGTTGAGACTGAAAAGTCCAAGACCAGGTCTTTGGCAGGGCTCATGTGTGGTGAAGACTGTCTGTCTTCCTGGCCTGTGGATGGCCATCTTCTTGCTCTGTTCTCAGTATACAAGGACAACAAACAAGCTGGCACTAGCAGGGCCTCATCTCTTTTGAAGGCCACTAATCTTACCAGATAGGACACCATCCTTTTGACCTCATTTATGTTTCATTGTCTGCTAATGCCCTTATATCCAAATGTAATCACACTTGGCAACAAGGTTCCAGTGGATTAATTTTACTGGTCTTGGTGATTTATACCTTTAATCTTAGCACTTGGGAGACAAAGGTAAAGGGAATCAGGAGTTTGAAGCCAGGCTGGGCTACAGATTAGACCTTGTCTCAGAAAGAATATAGCACCAGGAGGTCCCATGTCATTCTTCTAGCCTACAGAACTGTAAAATAATAAACGGTGTTTTAAACCAGTAAGTTTGTGCTTATTTGTCACAACAACAGTAAGAAGCTAGTCCATGAGATTTGTCATGCCAGTCCCAAACTTTTCTAGCCACAAAAGATCCAGAATCCTTTAGGACCCTGTGGATCCCTGAATGTGTGTGGAGATGGAGTACAGTCAGGGTTGGAACAGAGGCTTCCCTGCCACACAGCCCAGAGTCCAACAGCTGGAAGGCCTCCTGGAACTTTCCCCTGCCTTCCATATCTCTGAGAGAGAGAGGGAAACATTAGATTTGTATACTATAAGCTGCCCAGGGGACTCAAGATCTTAGCTATAAAGAAGTTAGGGTAGAATATTTGGCCCAACTCCTGGGTCAGCTCCACTGTGGTCTCAGCCCCTTCACCCTTGCTGGCATCTTCCAGTCCCATTCCCACATCTCCACATCCCTTCTCATCACCATCTTCTAAGGCCATGTGTGGGACAGAGGGGGCCGCACGCAACACAGAGCAGGAGACAACTCCACATTTGATTACCGATTTACCCATTCTTTGGGAATTTTTAGCTGAGCCCCATCCACGGAGAACTTTTCTCTCTGGAGACTTGTGTCCCTGTACCTATCAGTTTCTCAAGACTTGTCACAGTATGTACTATTGACATAGCTTTCCTTTTCCTCCTGTGTTTTCTCACCTCTGTCTCTTTGCATGAGCACCATTTTCCTAGTAACCCATCCATCGAGGGAGATTTTTGACTTTCCCCAATAGGGTTGCCCATAGAACTCAGAAACAGAAGGTCTTATTCTCAGTTTTCATTTTTTTAGAGGATCCCCAAAACCACACACACACACACACACACACACACATACATGGCTATAGGAGCAGGGGGAGATGTTTACAGATTTTTTTTAGAATAACTAAAAAAAAAAAAAAATGAAAAAAAAAAAAAAAAACCACAACATTGAATGATAAGAATTTCAGGAGATGG